TGAGCCTCCGCAACAACTACGCCGAGCTGTATCAAGAATCATCTTTGTGTAATTTGGGACTTTCGGCAAAGGTTGGGTAAATTCAGTGAAAACTATTCAAAGTATTGCGAGATGTTGAGCGAAATCATGCAAGCCATCTTCCCAACACCGTGCCCGAATTTGCACTCACCTCTCTCAAAACCCAGCACAGAACCTTGTTTTTTTTTTTTTTTTTTTTTTTTTTTGGTCGGAAGTACACTATATTAGTATACAACCACAGTCGCAACTGTTTCCATGGAAGACCTAGCTACTAACGAGTGAAGCAGCTAGTCCCCCAACATCCCCTTTATGGCGGTTTGTACCGTGCCCGCGGATCCTCCCAGATCACGCGGAAGCCCTCCTTCCACGACAGCTCTTTCTCTCCCACGAAGGCGGTGCTAAGGACCCTCGCTTCGTCCGAAGCCAGCTGTCCCCAATCCTTGCCACTCGCTGCTCTTGTCTTGTGCGGTTGCCTGTCCCTCCATTTGCTGTAGACTCTCACGTGCCGGATGAAATTCGCCAAAATTTTCCTGACCACCTTTTTATGCTGGAACTTCTCCTGTCTGAAAACCGCATCACATCTCGCCAACCACAGCTGCTGGAGCGTGATGGCAATCAGCGGCAGTTCCGGGAAGCTCGACTACGTGGTGGAGCCCCGGAAAAGAAGGTCTCCCACACACTTTGCCTCTTCCCTGACCCCAAACATTTTCAACGCCGCATGCAGCTTTTTAATAACCCTGTCCACCTGGCCACGTCATCAGGCAGTGGTCGGTTGTCTCTTCTCCCCCACAGTGCGGGCATCTTGCCAGCTCACCCACGAAGGGAAGCCTGGCGCCTACTTGTAGGTTCCTGCTGTGGATTCTGAGGAGCACCTCCCTTGCCCTGGAGGGGACCACCATCGAGTCACGCGCAGCAATGACTCTTGCCCAATCAACCTGCCTTCCCAGCTCCTCTTCCCATCTGGTCTGCTGCTTCGGTTTCCCGGCATCCACTCCAATTGCTCTCCTTAGGGTTCTCAACGCTACCAGCTCTCCCCCTTTGCAGAGCGATGATTCCCGCAGCCTGGTAAGGTGGTGCCCGAGCTGTCCCAAGACTCTCCCATTCACCTCCTTAATCGGCGTTACCCACGACGCGCTGATGACGAAAGGGCTAGCATATGGGGCAGGCGCCACTTGTCCCAGTGTCACTACTACTCGCTTGACGACCAGATGTCCCCCCTCCGTCATAAGTATCCTCCAGTAATTTTGCTGCTTCGCCTTTCCGCCGCTAGTTCGCACCAGATTCGTAGCGTTGAAAATTTCTTCTGCCGTCCGCGGTTTGAGCAGCATGTCACGCCACTCCTTTGGCGCCGCCAGGAAAGCTTTGAGCGCCCATCGAGCTGGAATTTTACCCCCCCAGTTCCCTGCTGAGTCTCTGCAGGTCTTTAACCACGACTGTGCCATCTAGGTTTGTGATGAGCAGGTCACACAGCTTCATGCCCTTCAGGCACTCGGAGCCTCGCTGCGCACCAAACGGGCTTCTTCCCCGGAAGAGTATCCGGTTGTTAAACCACAGATGCTCCTGCTCTGCCTCCCATCTGGTCTCCGGCTCCCCGAAGAGCGGGAGCTTCCTCCTCCAAAGAATCTGCAGGGCTGCCTTCCACCGCTCACCGCCCCCCTTCCAGTGCTTGATGACGTCTTTGTGTGCCCATAACGTAGCCCAGCCCAGCGGCATTGCTGCTGCCTGCTCCATCATCCACCTTTTGACTTCATTCCTCTCCGCAATGGCTTTGCTTATCGCTTGTAGCGCCATGCTGTCAATTCGGTCTCTCGGGTTGATCACGCCCAGCCCCCCTTCTCTCCTTCTTCTGCATGTCAGCTCGTAGCTCCACAAGACAAAACGCCGATCCAGCGAAGCTTTCCCCCCGGAGATGAAATTGTGGCACAATCTTCGCACCCTCGTCCAGAAGTCAATTGGTGGCGGGTACACCTGCGCTTGGAAAAGCAGCACCGGCATCACGTACGAATTTATCACTGCGACCCTTGCCGACGTCGTTAGGTGTTGCGCGGCCCACCGTGTGAGCGAGCCGCTCACCCTCTCGAAAGCCTTGTCCCAGGCCGGCCCCGCCTCGCCATTTGGGGTAATCCAAACCCCCAGCAGTCGCTCCGGTTGATTTGGCTCCACCACTTTGAAAGGGGAAGCCCCTTGAAACCTCCGCCTCCGGTTCCTCCCTAGCGGCATTAACACTGTCTTTTCCTGGTTGATTCGCAGGCCCGACACCTCTCCGAAATCCCTCAGCACTTCTTCCGCTTTCGACATCTGCGCGAGCCCATTCAGCGCCAAGGTGGTGTCGTCTGCATATCCCAGGTACGTGAGCTCTCCTTTCCCACGCTTTCTGATGCCCAACTTCCTCTTCTGTATCTCCTGACACAAAGGCTCCACTGCGCAGATGAACAGATACGGCGCTAGCGGGCAGCCATGCCTCACGCCGACCTCAACCCCCAGCCTCTCACCAAGCCAACCGTTGACCAGGAGCCTGGTACCGGCTTCCTCGTGGAGTCCCTCTGCCCATCTTACGAAGATCTCCGGGAATCCCATCTCCCTCAAGGTGCTGAACAGGTAACGCCTCCAAACTGAATCGTACGCCTTCTGGAAGTCAACGAGCAGAAGGTACCAGTCTTTCTTTCCGGTTGCCGCTGCATCAAATACATCTGCTACCGCCGCCACCGCATCCGACAGCTTCCGCCCTAGTACGAAACCATGCTGGTCTTCTGAGATAACTTTCGGCAGCACTCCCTTCATCCTGTTAGCCAGAACCTTCGTAACGATCTTGTATACCGTGTTCAGTAGAGTGATAGGTCTGTAATTCCCCAAAATCTCCTTGTCTCCCTTCTTGTGCAACAGAATCGTGACTGCTGTTGTTAAACTCTCTCGGAGGCGCGCCGATCTCTCGAAAGAGTGAATGAAATCCATCAGCCCTGGCCCTAGCAGATCCCAGTTCTTTGTGAACAGCTCCCTCGGTAGTTTTCCCCTTTGGCAGCTCCGCGATCGCCTTCCTGACTTTGCCTCCGTCCATTTCGCCTGCAACATTTCCTGATCCTTTCCGTCCATATGCTTGCTTTTATCGGTCAGCCACACCTCGATGGACACCTCCCTGGCCTTCCCGAAAAGGTCACGAAAGAAATCCGACGCTGCTTCCAGTACCTCTTTGGCCCCCTTAATCTCTTTCCCTCCCACAGATAGGGCCGGGATTGTCAAACTTATGTTATAGCCTGTTTAAGCTGTAGTGGGTTAGACAATAGGGGGTACAACATTTCTAGGTTTCCCTATTTGTACCCAACTCATTTCTAGTCATTTCATTCCTCGTATCTCTTTCACAGGGATCTCTGTTTTCGTCACTTTGCAAGCTGTTCCTGTAGACTTGCATCCCCCACATCACTCATGTATGCTTGCTTCAGCGCCGCTGCCTTCTCTTCCAAGTGTTCAACCGTGCGAGCCACCCTTTTCCTTTCCCCTTTTGCGTACTCCTTCAGCCCCACCTGCAGCTTTTTCAGCGTCGTCGTAAACTCCTCATCCACCTTCCCCTCCTGCTGCTGCGTGATCGCTTGCGTGATCTTCCTCACACCCTTGCTACCCGCGAGCTTCGCCGGCAGTCTCCATAAACCGGGGCCTTTCACTCTATCCGCATAGGACGCCAGCTTCACCGAGACAGCAAACCAGTGATCCGTGATACCTTTCTGGATGTATGTGTGGAAAGCAGCGCTGACGGCGCTAAGCATAGAGGACGACACCAGCGCTCGGTCAATCCTCGAGCTTACTTTCGCCGAACGTGAATAGAAGGTGTATTCCATTTTCACTGGATGTAACGTCCGAAACGCATCCTGTAAGTCGAGACTTGCGCACCCATTAACCAGTCTCCGATTTTCAGCAGCTGTACCGAGCCTTGATGTTTTATCCAGCTCCGGGCCTCCACTAAGTTGAAATCTCCCAACACTGCTGTGTATGCTACTGTAGGGAGCCGATCCATGAAGGGGATGAAACAGTCCCTAATGAAAGCACCGCGCAAACCAGCTTGCGCCGGGAGGTACACAGCCACTAAGCGCCACTCCAGCTCCTTCCACCCCAGGGTGACCGCGTGCAGTCTCCCTGAGCTATGTTTCACCACCTCACTCAGCTGAATCTCCGGTGAGAAACTCAGCACCGCCACGCCTCCTGCCTTCTGTGTGGGTGATACTGCAGCCATAGCCGTAGGTCTTAGTTGCGTCCAGAAATTGTGATCCTCTCCCATTCTTGTGTCTGACAGCGCCTGCCTTGGTGCGGTTCGTCTTGTGACGAATGGACGCAGCATGAGCAGCTCGAAACTGGAGCCGTGCGCCTTCTCGCACGCGTCCTGAACGCATACCCAGTCTTCTCGGGACCCCCTAGTCGATATCAACACCATCGCCGGATCCTTCAGTATGGCTTTCAGACGGTTTGTGACTATCAGAGAAGCCGCTGCGCGCAGATGAAAGAAGAGGTAAGTCAGTACGGTAAGTGGGATGAAAAGATGGATCGAACACATGATGCACATAACGCGTATCTGCAGAAATACCATTGATCTCATGCACCCGTTTAACCGTTAGGTTCCATTTTGAAATGTTCGCCTGCCGGTCAGTGACGTAATCGTCGTGGTAGCAGGTCAGATGATGACCGTTGCAGAACTCGCAGTTGATAGAAGGGAAATGCAGGAGCAGATTCTTCCCCCGCTTAGCCGGCTCTTCGATGAAATGACGCCAGCGGTAACGATCTTTGCTGTGCTCAACCACAAGACCCCGGACCTTGTCCGTGTCCAGACCTGTCACTGGGTCCTGGATGCGATGAAAACCAAAAGCTTCCTTGTACGCAGTTTTCCCCCTCTTAACAAGCTTCACCTCAGCCAGCAGGCTTGCGATGATGTCCGAAGTCACCTCAGCGGGCACTCCCTTCAGCACAACTTCAATCGCCTCCGGGTGCAGCGCGCGTAGATGGATATATGTGGAGTCTTCCGGGAACTGCCACCTCAGCTCCAGTACTTCACCCTTCAAAGTGACATGCTCGATCTTCCGCTGCCTGACAAAGTATGCGTCGTCCTCCGAAGTGAAAACCACTTGCAGACGGACGTAACGCGTCTTGGACAGGTAAGCCGGTGTGAGATTCTGGTATTTCGTAGTGGTTAGCGCTTCCGCCGAGAGAACCTCCTTCCAGTCATCGAGGTGAGCCGCAACAGAATCTGCTGTCCTAGGCACTTCTGATTCATGCCTGAAAGGTACAAGTAGCGTTAGCGTAAACTTAAGCTTAGCAGCCACAATGCTTAGAGACTCAGGATCTGCCTCCTCATCAGGATCGTCGCTGAGATACCCATCTTCTTCCTCTTCTGCCGCAGGATCAGCATCAGGATCTTCTTCCTGCTGTGTTGGAGAGGAGACCAGAAGCGGAGAGTGAACAGCAGTAGCATTGTCGGCCGACGACTTCACAGGCTCATCCTTGAGGCTGTTATCCTTAAGCGCTGACAGCCGATCATGTAGAGACGGCTGAATCGGGTCAGCATCCAGCGACGGAGGACGATCTGTAACAGGTTGCAGCGGGGTCAGCAGCACATCCTCGACCGGTGCATTGGTCTGAGGGGACGACTCCACATTCTTGGGTAAAGCCAGAGGCTCCATAGCATCTTTAGGAGCTGTCTTGGTCAGCTTCTTAGGAGGCATGGCGCCGGATGAGTGCTTCCAACGTGAGACGAAGGAGAAGGCTCGTGCTCTCCAGGCCGGAAAGTTAAACTTGTGAACCCTTGTGAGCAGGCGTCTCTTCTTATATCTCATGTAATAATCACAAAGCAGCCACGCTTTGGGTATAGCGCGCGCCTTGTTAGTAGCATGAGAGATGATTGAACCAATGCTGTTGATGGGAACCTTGAGATTACAGTCTTGTCATGCGTACTTTCTGGAAGTTGTCTGAAACCCTGGGAGAAACGGATGTTTGTAAGCATGATAAATGTTCACTGTATGAACACGAAAAAGGTATCTGCTTATAGAACTCCGCGAAAGGTATCCAGTGGTCAGTTTAGAACCTCCATCAGGCAAGAAATTGCATGACATTGCTGCTTCCTAAGCTGCCTGGAGAGTATCCATGGCGGCGAGCTCAAGGTTGCTCAAGGTGGCAGTATCAAACTTCGCTTGCTGGCATCACAGAACCTTGCGCATTCAGCAGCCTTGAGCGATTTAGTAAACAACGTGGCGGAAAATTGTGCTAAAGAACGCAGCCGAAGCCTTCGGCGCTGTTCGGTTGCCATAGTTTTTTTGAGAGCTTAGTTTTGAAGAAACTTCCCCAATAAGAGATTGGCAACGTATCTAGCTTCGGTGATAGGGATGGTCATTCAGAGCCTAAGCGCACAAGCTTACATGCGAATAATTACCGAGCACCACATTTGTAAAGGACCATTATAACCGTCAATTGAATCCACAAATCTTCTTCTCCTCGCAAATGGTCGCAGAACTTGTATGCGCGGCCAATTCTCGCTTGAGATGGCATCAGCGAGCGCTTAGGTTATGCGGTGTAGCATTTGGTCCTTCAAATTGGACCTTAGGGTAATATACGCGTTTTACCCCTTATTGGGTGCGGTCAGAACGTTCTAGGAAATGGAAGGGTAAATTGTGTAGCGAACAGTGCCTTTGATTTCAACCTGGTGTTTTTCACGCTTGTTTCTCACGTGGCTTAGATGAAGATTTGTCAAGGGCACATTGTGGCGTGGATAGTCCGAGCCTGTATCTAAATGACCAATCGAGTGGGACCGATTTGAATCTCTCATCCGTGCATAGTGATTTCGAACAGATTTCGCACATGTGAACGCATTCTGAGACACATTCACATCGGACAAATCCCACAGCTTGAGGTTGACAGTCGACAGTCATCATTCCCAAGTCAAATTATAGGTTCTTCTAGGCAGAGTGAAACTGTAGCACCGTCTTGGAGGTCCCGTTGGTAGGCCACTCGATGTGTTTTGGGACACCCTGCCAAATACGAATTGTGGACGATCTTCACCCTGCCACTGCAGTGTGCCAAGCGAGGCATACTCAAGAATTTGTAGGGTCGTTCGTTTCCTTGTCGGGATTGGCAGGGTAAATGTTTTGTTAGCACTTAGTGAGCAAGTACCACACAAATCCAGTGGATTTTGAAAATTTGTTTGAGCTGGAGAGGACGCGAGGGGAGAGGATGCGAGGGGAGAGGGGTGGGGAGCCTATGCATAATGCTTGTGAGAGTCGAGTAACTAAGAGCCAGATCTGCGTGCTTGAGTGACTTCGACGAATTACCCGCGGTGTTCAGTAACTTGCCGAATCCTCAGAGTGCTTCAGTGACGGTGACAAATTTCAAGGGTATTTCACTGACACAGTCAGATTTCCAGTGTGTTTCAGTAAGTTAGACAAAAGTCCGGTGTGTTTCAGCGGCCTAGACAGATTTCGAGTGTGTTTCAGTACCTCCGCCAAATCTCCGCAGTTTTAGGGTGCGTATCTATCCCGTGTCAGACACGAAGCCAGACACGAAGTTAAGGTTGGGAAGACCCAAAGGGACTCGGAATGCTGGCAAATTTAGGTTCGGAAGACACAAACCGAGTCAGTTTGTGTCTTCCGAAGCTTTGACCTGATGTCGGACACGGGATAGAAACGGACCCTTAGTCTGCTCCAGATTCACATTGTTTGCTGACTTCGAGAGATTTCGACTCTTACGAGGATTTCTTAGCAGGGTAGATATGTCTTAGACTCGGATTCGGCAGGTCTGTGATTACGCTCACACCTGCAATTCTGGGGTACATTTTGATCCATGTCAAACTCTGTCAGGGCGGTTCAGTCAGGGTGACCATAATCTCTCTGAAATATCAGGGTAAAACAGCCTGATGTGCTGGGGTCGCCATTGGTGCTCCACAGACAATTGGGTTCATTCGTGTACAGCCGATTAGCTGCAGCACTCTGAACACGCCTTTAAGTACTGTACAGTTCAGTCTAAAACACAGTGTAGTACACGTGTTGTAAACTTAAAACATTCCTCAGCTGAGCTGGAGTTGCCGTAACGTGCGTTATGTTTCTGCCATTCGCCCTGGGCGCCGTTCCATATTCCTCCGAATATACCGCGCTCTCCCCGTGGTTCCAAAAAGGACGTTCTGATTCTGGTAATATGCGGTGAAGAGGCTTCAGGGCCGGTAACCCTCAACTTGAGAGACAGGGGTTCTCATCACGTGCAGTGTAGCCGTTTCGTATTCCACTATTCTTCCGAGTGGAGGTTATTATTTTATGTCGGTGGTGTCCTAGATCCACAGCTTTAAAACACCGGTCACATGCGGTTTAGAGCGGTTAGTTTACGTTCTAGCACACTTGCTTTAGGGTTCGAGTGTGGGCATGCTTCACAAACGCTTATTCCAGAAGACTCAAGCCAGTCTCTCCGTTTGCGTCCTCCCTCAATCTGCCGCGTTTCTCGGCCAGCTGCAGCCAGCGCAACCGCAATTCCATCACGCCTGCCTGCATACGCGCTTGTAGTCGCAGCGCCGCTCTCTCCCGACGCGACAGCGAGTTTCGGTCGCACGAGGGAAACCGCAAAATCTCGTTTCTTGGTTCTGTGCTGTGCGGCTGTGCCTTTCGTCTCCCTTGCTACACGTAGTTCCCTCAGCCTGACATCCCCTCACCACTGGTCGTAAGGGTTATGTGATTTGCTGCGTGGATGCCGGTAATCCCCGATATAAAAACGTAGCGACTCTTGAGAGAGACGCTTCGCATCGCACTGCAGTCGACAGCGAGAAGCGCACCGTAAACGGGGCATAGCGACGGTAATAACGCTCGAATGCTGTACGGATTCCTTCCGCTCCGCCGCTAAACAGCTCTGAAAAAAAAAAAACTTTTTGCAAGAGCTCGCTGGGATTCCACTCGTTAAGTCAGCGTCAAGACATTCGGCGCGGTAGAGCAATCGACGGCGAGAAGCAGCGAGGAGAGAAGTCATTACAATCTCGACGCTCCGAGTGACACTAGAAGGTAATATAAGCAGCCTCCCCCCCCGTGACGATACAAGCAACCCCTCCGCTCTCACCCTTCGTGCCCTATTAGTTACGCGCTTCGCTCTTCGCAGCTGTTCACAGCTCTTTATTCCTTTCAGCTTCACGGATCTTAATATTAGTGACTCGTATTCTCCTAATACGACTTTCAAAGCTCGCGAAAGGTGTATTCGAGTGACGTTCTATACAAACTGCGAAATCTCGTGCGTTTTGGTGAGTCTGCGAACTCTGCGAAATCTGCGAGATCACTTAAGCAAGCTTACTCCTCTGTGTCAAGCCCGGTTGCCTTTCCAGTCGACTCAAGCCCGTTCCGTCAATCCCCTGACGTAAAATCCTGCTGCAGGAAGTCACCCCCTCAACACCCCCTCAAGCCATGGCTTCGTCGTCTCCGCGACGCGTCAGAACGTCCGTCCCGTCGGCCACGTGGCGCTCGTCCTCCTCCCACGTGGTCGTCGCTGCGCTTCTCTGCGTCATCGCGGCGCGTGCTGTCGCTGCGGGTAAGGCCAATACCACTTCCGTTGTCGTTTTCCGTTGCTTTGTTCGTTTGTTTGTTTTTCTTGCAGAGATTTACTTCACTTGTCAGTGTTGCCTGTTTCCCTTTATCTATTTAGTACGTTCAGTTCCGTGTAAATTTCGTTCTTTACTTATCTCCTGCAATTCGTCGTCCTTTCCATACATTCTCTCACCCTCCTGCCTCCCTCTCTCTTTCCCCCCTCCCCCTCTCCCCCTCCCTCCCCCCCCCTCCTCCCCCGCTTCCCCCCCCCCCCCTCCCCCTCCCTTCCCTCCACTACCCTCTTCCCCCCACACTTTCCTGCCTTAACCTCTCAAACCCCTTTTTCTTCTCCAGAGTGCCTGGTTGGTTCCGGATTCTACGGAGTTGATTGCACCGCGTGCCCTGGTAAGGACGAATGCCCTGCCCTGGCAAGAAACTCGAGATGTCTTACCCTGTCATGCCATCCCATTCCATGCCATAACGTGTCATGCCATCCCATTCCATGCCATACCGTGTCCCATTCCATGCCATACCGTGTCATGCCATCCCATTCCATGCCATACCGTGTCATGCCATCCCGTGCCATGCCATGCCGTGTCTTGCCGTGAAGTGCCGTGTAGTGCCATGCCATGCTGTGACATGCCGTGCCATGTAGAGTGTGAGGAGCTCGGCACATGTCACGACTGGAGCTGTTTAGGAAGCTGTTACGCATGCAACATCAGAATCTCGGCACCTGTTGCAAAGCAACGGGTCTGAGGGCGATTGCACATGTGCCTTGCCTCCCACCACCATCACGTTAATTACCTACTTACCACCTCTTCTCCCCTCCTTTTTTAAACTTTTTCAGTGTGTCAGAATCTGGGCACGTGCAAGGAAGGCACCGAGGCCGACGGCACGTGCGCGCCTCTGCCCTCCCACCACCACCACCACCTCACGACCTCACGATTGCCCTACTTATCTATCACCCCTCTCCACCTTGTTCTCTTCAGCGTGTCAGAATCTCGGCACGTGCAAGGACGGGCCCGAGGGTGACGGCACGTGCGCCTGCCCGCCCACCACCACGGGGCCTCTGTGCGAGCTCTGTGCTCCCAACTACGACCCAGACACCAAGTGCACCACCAGTAAGGCTTGTTACCTTTTTCTCCTAGGCGCTGCACTTTGCCTGTTTTGACGTGGCCTTTGAGTGACCACTCAGTCAGCACGGGGCCTCTGTGCGAGCTCTGCGCTCCCAGCTACGATTCGGATACCAAGTGCAGTGCACCACCTGTAAGGGTCTCTCTCTGAGGCGCTGCACGTAGGTTGTTCTGATGTGCCTTTGGAGTGACTATTCTGCCACCTCGAACCCTTTCTGCGAGCTCTGCGCTCCCAACTACGACCGTGGTCCGCGGAATCACGTGCACCACCAGTGAGGTTATGTGGCGTACTGAGTCAAGTGAACGAGGAAGGCACTGGTATTCTGCGTACTCTACTGCCTTCTTTGCGTGCTTGTCTGACTGACACAACTGCTCCTGCCCTGCACTAAGGCCGTTGCTGTTCCCTCCCAAGACCCTGTTTTTCTCTTCTGCTGCCCTGTTCCCTGTCTTACCCTCCCTCCAGTTCTGGACGCCTGTGCAGCATACATCAATGACACGGCAGCAGAGGACAGCGCGTTCGCCAAGTGGTGCAAAATGCGACCCAATGGGGACTGTGTCTCCGATTTTGACGCTGTGCCGACCCGCTCGACCTGCGGGTGCCAGACGGGGTACACCTTTTATGAGGAGACCCAAACATGTCTTGGTGAGTGTGCTTAGCTTATGGTGTGCTTACATGTATTTTATTTTGGAGAAAAGTGCGTGCATATGGTTTTTGTTGCGCTTTTACTGATTTGTGAGTTTGTGTTTTTTACGAGGCAGATATTAACGAGTGCAAGCTGAGGCCGTGTGTGGATGTGAAGAACTCGGTTTGCATTAACCTGGTGGGAACGTACAATTGCACGTGCACAAAAGGTTATGTGGCTACACTTGTGGATTCTCTTAGCATTGTTCGCACATGTGAGAAGCCCGCTCCTCCTACGCCGACCAAGGTCATGTTTCCCATGCCATGAACGGAATTGGTGGATGTACTGTAAATCTGTGTAATGGGTAAGATACCATAAGAGAATAAGTACTGTAACGTAATTTGTGTAATCTATGATGTTTTCTTTTGTAATTTGTCTGGACGGGATAGTGTACCATCAAGACCAGTGGATGCTTCGCCCAAGTGGATGACCGTACATAACCATGAATTCAGGCGACGCTGGGACCACTTTCGATTGGGGTTGACGTGGCAAAGCGATCAAGGGTGTTCGGGATTGATCGGTCGTACAACAAGTCGCATCGCAAGCCGTGATGTTATCGCATAAGGCTCGTTCCGTTCCGTTTTACGTTTCAAAAGATTGGGTTGTCGTACGGATATGCGAGCACATGGACTCGTCGCATGCCACAAACACTGCTCTGCTCCAAGCCACAGAATCATCTCGGGCAGGATTCCTTCAGGTGAATTTTAAACCCCAGTCATTCGACCTCCATGTACACTACGCTTAGTGGATGTTTAGTGAACTTTTACCATTTTCTGGTACAAAACTCAGTGTTTTTACGGTCAGCTCCCTTTCCTTTGTGATGCACCTAGCCTGACCGCCGCCGAGCGTGCTTCCCTCCATGCATTTCCCCCTAACCGAGTCTCCTCTCCTCCACCAGTCCACCCCACACCACACCACCACCACATCACTCGCAACTCGCATCGCAACGCAACCCAAGCTTCTCATCTCACCTGACCGAGTTTACGGTTTGCCCTGCGGCTGCATGCAAAGTACACTGTACTTCCAGCCGCCACGCCTCATCCTTTCATCATGCATGCAAGGTGCAATTCTGCTGCGAATGCAATTTTACCTCCCATCTCGTCCCTCCGCCGACCGATCGCGCCGCCCGCCAACCTCTGGCTTCTTGGCTCTGCTGGTCCCGCCTCGTCCTTTCTCCAAAGGTTGTTCAATGTGCTCTTACTCTTGGAAGAGTAAGAGAGACAGACAGCCCTGCTCTGCCGTTCTTCGCAGCTGTCAGAAAAGCTTTTCCTTCAATGTCCAAGGGTCCTGAGCCACACCCCAGTTTCTGCTCTCCTACTCTTGGATTCAAGATAAGAGACAGACAGCCCTGCTCTGCCGTTCTTCGCAGCTGTCAGAAAAGCTTTTCCTAAAGCTAAGACTGGCGCACCTTGCGGCTGCACTCTTACCGCCGTTTGTGCTCCCGCAGCGCAGATACGGAGGCTATGTAGCCGCTAGTATCCAAGTTCTGATATCCGCCGTTCTTTGGTGGGCACCGCCATATCTAGTTTCAGTCGACTCAAGCGCCTTCCAAACGTCGTTCACACGACTTTCCAAGCACGCTCAGAAGCCGAGGTGACTTTTGAGTCGCGACTCGAACGCACAGCCCGCTGCCATGGAGGACGCGTGCAAGCCGTCGATGCTCCATCCGTGTCCGAATCAACCGACCAGCGGCTCCTTCTCCCCCTCCACCTTCGCAGCCGCTCTCTCCGTCTGCCTTATCCTGGTTTTCACCGTCGCCGTCGCCGTCTGCGTGATCCGACGACTGAAATGGTTCGAGATTAATCTTGACAGCGGCCCCGCGGCGGACCGCCCGCACCCGCGGGTGATTTGGGTGCGACATATGGACCAGAAGCCCGCGGTTCCCGGGCTCGACCGCGCCACGATTCGCTCGTTCCCCGTGTTCACGTATCGCGGTTCGGACGGGTTGGACGGTCTAGGGAGTGACGGGCTTCTTATGGCGGAAGACAGCCGTTCTGGTTACCCCGCACCGTGCGCCGAGAATTGCGGGGGAAATTGCCCCGAAAATCACTCCGGTTCTCAAACGGGCGACCACGTAGCGATTACCGTCGCCAGCGACTCTGCGACTCTTTGCGACGATGATGTAGTCGCACCGGTGAGCGCGACAAACAACGCGGCGACAATTGACTCAAGTTCGTGCGACAGCCTTCCGCGCAGGCCCGGGCGCGCGGAGAGGCTGACGCGCGAGTGCGCGGTGTGCCTGGGCGAGTACGCGGCGGGCGAGCGCATCAAGGTGGTGCCGGCGTGCGCACACGGCTTCCACGCCGACTGCATCGACCTCTGGCTCGCCGCCAAAACCACCTGCCCCATCTGCCGCCGCGACCTGACCCCTGTTAAAGCCTCCAGTATCCCCATTTCCCGCACCAACTCCACCATCCCCACCATCCCCACCGTCCCCACTCAAGAGAGCAACTCCTAAGGCCCTTCGCCCCCGTTCCCCCCATCGCCTTCGTCATCCCCTCGCCAAAGCCACCTGCCGCATCCCCCTCCCCCTCTTCCCCCCCCCAAAGAAAACCTTTCGCGGGCGGGAGACGACCTTGCGGGCGGAACGCGGCGAGCGGGCCGCATCTGCCGCATTATTGCCAAATCCACCTGCCGCATCTGCCGCCGAGACCCCTGCCGCCCCGCCAAAGCTGCGACTCGTAAGCCTTTCATCCCCCCATCGCCCCATCGGTCCCACCCCCCCATCGCCCCCATTTCCGCCCATCGTCCATCGCCCCCATTGCCTCCCATCTCCCGCAATTCCGCCCATCACCCCGCCAAAACCACATGCCCCGCCCACCGCGGTCCGCGCAAACGCCGCCACTACCCTCATCCCGCGCACCCCTCTCCCCCTTAATCAACCTTAATACCCGACTGTGGGCGGAACTCTCCGCGGAACCCTCGGCGGAAGCCGCCACTGCCCGCATCCCGCGCACTCCCCTCCCCCCTTATTTAACTCGAGAACCCCCGATGGACGATAGCTAAAGCGGGGAAGGCGGACCGAGGGGAAGGCCGCGGGCACAGGAGACCAGAACAAGAAAGTTGATGAACGGGAGGCGTACGATAGAAGCGGCGGGAGGCAGAAAAGCGGAGGGGCTGCAGGGCAATATTGAGTAGACTGAGAAGCAGCAGCAGCGGACGAATTGGGGGTCGCATGGGTGCTGGTGGAAGCGTGGGGAAACAGCAAAGGGGATGTGACTAGAGAAGGGGGGGAGGGGGGAGGGGATGTGGGGAAGCGGAACAGCATGTGGAACGAATGGAGCAGGGGGGGAGGGAGATTGAACTTGGGGGGTAATTTCCCTCCTGAAGACCTGGATTCGACTAGCGTGATGCCTATGACTACAGTGATGCAAAAAAGGTTGTAATGCCTTGCTCCGAAAGACCTATGGCGGGTGTATTTCCCTCGAATCCCCTCGTTTGTACTATCCACCCTCCAGGGTGGACCCTTTGTTGTATTGCTGGGGCTGAGTGATGGGAAGCTGACAGCTGTTGACGTGGAGTTGGCTTGTTGACTTGGGTTGACTTCAGAGGTTTATAGACGGGGAGGCAAAGCCTTCCTGAAGCTGGCATACTGGTAGCGGAACTGCTGACTATAACTCGGTTGACTCTTGTTGATCTTTGACTGGAGTTGACTAGAGCTGACTTGGGTCAACTTGGGGTGAGGAGCTGCAGCTGAGAGAAGCGGAGAAGCGGAGGAATATGAGCATATGTAGATAGAGTCGTTGATCAGCAGGGTTTTCACCGGCAGGAATGCAAACCCGCTCCTGTGCGGCAATTTTGGCAGACTAAGCTGTGCTTCTTCCCCTGTGCTGTGGTTGGACTGAGCTAGCTTGTGGCTTGCTGTGATGGCATGCTGCACCAACCAGCTGCTGAAACACAATGAGTGAGTTAGCAGGTTGATTTGCTGTTTAGGGCGTTTTCAGCAAGTGTTTAGAAGTGCTGAAGTAATGCAATTTAGCCTTCAAATTTAGGGAATGAATACATTTTACTAGATTAGACTGGTTGCACAACAGTGCTTGCTTCGAGATTACCGAAAACGGTTAGCCGCGAAATTGCACTTCCAGCGGTGCTAGTCGGTGGAGATGGTGAAGCTCGATGCTGTGCTGCTCACCACCAGTTTGAACCGCTACTCACCAGTTTGCTCTCCACCGTTCAAAAAGTTGTGGTATGGTGGTCGGAGCGGGTGCAGCAGCTGCTGCATTTTTCATTCGAAGTTTAGGGTTGGTCGGCGTCAGAAGAAGCTGGGTACAACCAGATCGATCTACCAGCAGCAGTTACGAGTTCAACCAAGCACCATTGCAGCGGAAACCACTCTACACCGCATTCAAAACAAGACAAGATTGGCTCCAACCAAGCCTCATCACGCTCGGTAGGTCAAGTCCCAACCAAAGTTGAAGCAACGAAGAAGGCAAGAAAGCGTCAACAATTTTCTACCTGATCTCAAGGGTGGCAACTCTGCAAAGGTAGCCCCAAACGGGCAAGACAAAGTGTTTAGGCACTTGACTTATAAACCTCCATAGGAATCTGGGAGGGTACGGTAGACACTTACGCTACCTATGCCCTCTAGCTACGGTTATGACCGACGGTGTTTTTGCGTTGTACGTTGTAATAATGCACTTTCACCTACCAAAAAAAACAAGAGGCGACAAGGTCTTCCTAGGGTTGCGAAGCTCTTTCTGCAATGGTAAGTACAATTTAGTGAATTGTACATCCTCAGAAACTGTACACAATAGTATGACACTCAATTGGCATACCTAGGCAAAGAATCGAAAATATGCACACATGGGATTCAAACCCGCGGCTTTCTGATCACAGACTCGCACACTAACGACTGGGCCAATGCCTCTAACTTTCGATGTCAACGAAAAGATATTGTTACAGAACAGTGCGACGAATCTGAAACATTCCTAGGGTTTGATCGACCCTTTTTCTCCCTCTCTCTTGTTAGCTGAGCTCCCACCAACTAATTCAAGTTTCTACTAAGGTGAGAACAACCCTAACCTATCAGGTAGTTTTAAGTTAGATGAATACGAGCTAGGCTAACATGTGTAGATCTCTTCTCACAGTCGTTTATAGGGAATGTTCTATGGTTTGGTTTCTTTCCTTCGTTTTCCTTGTCCTGCTTGGAGCAATCCACCCTCCCTCCCCTACTTCCTCTCCTTCAGCCGACGATCTACGGGAGTTTCCACTAGGTAAGCTCCTAACTTGCAGCTTAAAGTCGTTCGACTTAATTCTAACTTAGGTCGACTTAGATTCAACCTAGGTCGACTTAGATCTTGGTTTAACATATGTCGATTTAGGCCTGCTGGCCATTTCGTCCTATTTAACTAAGTCGATTTGTTTAGTACAAGCCATTGACTGTAATCTACCTACCTTAGCCTCATTCCATCCGTTTGTTTTCTTTTCCATTTCAAAATTTCGCTTTCTTTTTCATTTCTGCATGAAGTTTTCTATCTCTCTTTCTCACTGTTTTCTCTCTCTTTCACTTCGTTGAACTTTTCTTCCTTCCATCTTGTAATGATTTCGTCTTTCATTCTTACGTGCTCTTCAGCTTTCTTTATTTTAACGTCTATCCGTTCATTTTCTTTTAACTTCCTGCTGTAGTAAATCTTTTATTTCCATACATGTTTTCTTCACTTCGTTCGTTGATTCCTTCTTGTTCCCTTCTCTTTACAGTCAGTTTTCTTTTCCTTGTATAGTCGTTAACTTTCAGCGTTATCCGGTCTTTTCTTGTGTTCTTGCGTCTCTCCTTCCTACCTGTTGCACTTTCTCCTTTCTCTCTGCAATTCCCTTTCTCTTTTCTTCCCATCTTACTTCTTTCCATCTTACGTGCCCTCCAGATTTTCCCTGATTCATTTCTTAACCTTTCTTATCCTTGCTTTCCTTTTGTCTCAACTCTTTCTTTCCCTTCTACGCTTTCATTTCATTTCCCAACATTGTCTAATCGTTTCGTTATGTCTTTCTGTTGCGTTCTTTGCTGATTGTTTTACCACTCCCCTCTCATCCTCATCTTGTTCCTTCTCTTCTCTTGCGTATTCTTCTTCTTGTCATTATTGTTTCCTTTTGTTTGGTAAGTAGTATTACTGTTATATTCTGTTGATGTCTTCACCACCCATTCTGCCCTCTTAACGTTTTTATGTCTATATTACTTGCTTTGACCTTTTACTTGCTTTCATTTGTATATCCGCCGTCTCCTTGCTTTCATCGTCCTTGTCCTAAGCCTTCCTCTTATTTGATTGTTTATTGGACGAGAATAAAATCTTCCCCTCTCCCCCCCTCTTCCCCCCACCACCCCTCCCCCCCCCCCCTTTTTTTTTATGTTCAGAGGCTTTGCTGCTTCCTACAGGCTGTCAGGAGTACTTATGAAGAAGCTTGTGGTGTTTTTTTCTCAAAGTCGCCATCTATATCCCCTCAACTTCTCTTCCCCATTTCCCCCCTTTCGTTTCCCTATTTCCTACTTTTCAGAGGCTTTGCTGTACCATTTGGGAATTGAAGGTCCTTTTTAAAGGAGGAACGATCACATTTGTGGCGATTAGGTCTCATTGTGTTGTATTGCTTGGTAGTGATCTTTTGCATCTTCTGTGTTTTTTTTTTTTTTCCTTCGTAAGTTCTTTTTGCATTGGCTTGTTCTGAGCTTCTGTGTGTACGTGTGTCTGTCTGATTGCGTGCGTATGTGTCCGTATGTGTGGCATTCATCATTAACAATGCATGTCTGTGGTTTTTAGAAATGAGAATCAATTCTATCATTTCCCAAAGGTTCATTGAGTTACACTCGAACGGGTACGCTCACTTGAACTGGATTTGGTAGGTTGATCTCGTTTTTAGACTTCACAGATTGTGTTGTTTCATGTGGTAGTTGATTATTCAAAAGCTAAGCTATTGACCTCCCCCCCATGCTAGGCAGGGGATGGCGGTAGCTTAGTTTTTGGGTTGTTAACTGTCACGCATTTTATCATGTGCATGCGCATCATTCATGACATATCACATGTATTATATAGCATCATTCTATGCATTATGCATTGTATAGCATCATTTATGCATTATGCATGCATATCTTTATCATTACACAACATCATCTAACAGTAACATATAATGCAAACAGTACAGCAAATCTACACTAAACAATTGCAAAGAAATCATATGGTTTAATGCACTATGAACAGTACAGTATTCAAAACTGCTCAACATGCATACAGTATGGGAAGGGTATACTGTAGTTGACAAATTTTATTTTCATGAATATATAAAACAAAATAAATATGAATTTATTTTCAATATAAATATGAAAATAAAATTTGGCAAAATCGATTGTAAAGGGTTGCTTCGCAACCCAAACAAGAGGCGACGAAATCGTCTTAGGGTTGCGAAGCGTTTTGGTAAAATTATCAATATAGATTGTGAGAAATTATAAAATATTTGTGCAAAATCTGTGATTTTCCACTTTAAACAAGTATGCACGGGGGGAACCGAACCCTGGACCTTGCGATCGGAAAGTGTGAAGTAAACCACTGTGCCAAGGCATGATAAATTTTACGTAATAAACGATACTATTTGTTTTGTTTAGAAACATCGTGAAAACATGTTGCCCGTAAGAATCGAACTCACGACCTTTCATTCGCCAGTTCATCCTTTGCGGCGAAGTCAGCACACCTTAGGGTTTCAATTGTTTGTTTTTCTTCTCGGTCACTTCCTCTCGCTCGTTTCTTCTCCCCAGCAAAGCGTTGTTCTTACCTTGGCTTCTCTCTAAGACACCACATGGGTATGTTGCTGTATCTCCTAGATTGCATCTTAGTGAGCTAGAGGAAGTATCTAGTCGTCTTCGCATAGTTTCTTTCGCTTTCGTTTTCAGTTATGCCA